GCTTAGATACGCGCTTTTTTTGCGGTTCGTTTTCCTTGACTTGTCTCTGTTTAGCTGTATGTGTATCTATATAAACATATATATATATATTTATATATATATCAAGCACTTATATCTACATATATATATTTATATATATTTTACTATGAAAATGAATAGCAACAACAAAAGAAATTAGCGTAATTAGCAAATTACTCGCCATATTTATTTCTCGGCTGCTTTTTGTTTTTGTTTCATTTTGTGGCTTGGAATTGACGTCGACGTTGCTGTCGCTGTTGCTGTTGCTATTGCTATTGCTGTCGTCGCTCTGTCGGTCAGTCGGTCGCCAACCACATCGTCGCATTTCAGTTTCTTGGCCGGATATGCTGAATTTGCACAAAAGTCGGAAAATCGCATAAATACTTATTCGTTGGAGCATTTCTGAGTGTGCCTCTCTCTCTCAGTGTGTGTGTGTGTGTGTGTGTGTGTGTATATCTTTTATTCGCTTTATTTATTTTTTTTTTGTTACACGCGCTCCCAAAATAAATATACTTAATTGACGTTTGTTAATCGCAACGAAAGATGATGTGGGGCGGGACTGTTGGACTGGTGGACTGGTGGACGGCTCTGGTCTGGCATTCTGCATGCCATACGATTTTGGGCAGAACGAAATGTATACACATATATATAAATATATATCTATATACAACAGACACCGACGACGCTGACGTTGCCCTCGCCCACCAGCACTTCTCAAAGTGGAACAATAAACCAAAGAAAAGAAAAAAAAAACAAAAAAAAGGGCTGACAGTTTGTCTGGCGTATTCTGGTTTGTCATGTGGCCAATTAGTCAAGAACTAAGCGTCATATAAACATTTTATATACACAGATACTTCAAATGCCAGAGATTGAGTTGCATAAGCCTCCAATCTATAGATAGATAGTCTTAGAAAGACAAACAGTTGATCACAACTATATATATATATATATATAATTGTGTTACAGATATTCCATATAGTATTGGTACTTCAAATGGAGGCGATTAAGTTGTATAAGTTTGCAGTTATACAGATAGAATATATTTCATTGAAATGCCTTGAGAGACTGACTGCAAGCCAAATAATTGCTGATTATAGAAAAACCCCCGCCCCAAAAATTCAGAACAGCAAACACCAAAGAAGGTTAGTTAAATTGGGTCTCTCAACAGTGTTGGGGAGTCAAAAAAAAAAAAAAATGAACCTTGGACTACTACCAATATTGAATGCAGACTGGCAATGAATTTTAACAGCTGGTTACCTTGAAAATTTCAATTTGTGCTTATTCACTTCCTACCACGGCCAATCAGTCAGTCAGTCAGTCAGTCGACCAGATGGTCAATCATTGCTATTGCAATTGTTCTTGACTGTTATCAGGCAGCATTTGCTATTGGTGTACTTAATAAATATGTTGAAAAACAAATGCGTCGCTCTAACAATTACTTTATGTGCTTTTCATTCATAATTGTTTTGCACTTGGCTTTTATTATTTTTCATACTGATTGATGGTATCTCTAAGTGTTTCCGATTTGATAAAGAACAGACTTCAATGACCCTTTTCCTTATCACGATCGATGAAATCCTGAGGCAGTTTTTTGTTCTTCTCGGCATCGTCGTCGTCGTCGATATCTTTGCCCACTACTGCTGCTGTGTGTGTGTGTGTGTGTGTGTGTGTGCGTGAGTGTGTGTGTTGGCCAAGTTGGCACTTTGCAGCACCCACCTGAGTTGATACTTCAATTTTGTAGCCCACAGACTTCCTGTGAGTGAAGAAAGAAAGACTTTTGTGCCGGGGGCCCTCCTACGAGCTTTTTGATGTTGCTGCTGCTGGTGCTGCTGTTGCTGTTGCTGTTGCTATTGCTGTTGCTATTGCTGTTGTTGTTGTTGTTGCTGGTGTTTATGTAGTCAATATATGTGGGCGTTGCTGCATTCACAGCGGATGCTAATGAGCATGACTAGACTTATGCCTGATTGCTGGGAACGCTGTCCGCTCATTCAATAGATGGTTGCTGTTGGGTGTTGTTGTTACTGCTGTTGACAGCCCTCAGCAGCAGCAGCAGCATCGCCGAGACGTTGCAGATGATGAGCTGCAGTTGCAGTTGCACTTGGCCTATAGCACCTATGTCTCAAGTTGCATTATTCCCATCATTTCCAGCTCGCTTGTCAGCCCCACAATTGAGCAGTCGTGGGCAATGCCAAACACTTGAATTTACCTGTGATCTGTTCGATCTGATCGGATTGTTCACATTCTTAAATATAAATCATTTGTATATATTACAATTATTTTTATTACAATTTTATTTCTATTTTCGATTAGTGAGTTTTGCTCTTGCTAATGATGATGATGATTGCTGGCACAGTAGCTATGGTTAATGTTGGTTTTCAGCTCCCTGAAGCTAAGTGCGCCTCCAATTTTGATGTTGCAGTGTCCCGCTTGTGTTGTGTGTGCCCCCAGACAAGCACTTGAATCAGTGGCAAGTGGCAAGTGGCAAGTTGTGCTGCTGGTTGGGTTTTGCTACGCCCTTTGGCTTAACACGGCCTGCATATGACGTAGGCAGCTTTTCACTGATTGTTGTCTGTTGTTTGTTGTTGTTGATGTTGTTGTTGTTGTTGTTGTTGTATGCGGGACGCGGTTTCATTTGAAATGCATAGAAAACATAAACAGTTAAAGTCCAAAGACCGGCAGCCAAGCACTCAATAATTGAATAACTGAAGAGCTGAGGATCTCAAGAACTCAAGAACTTGCTATTGTTGTTGTTGTTGCTGCTATTGTTGTTGCTGTTGTTGTTGTTGCTATTGTTGTTGTTGCTGTTGTTGTTGTTGGGCTACTGTGTTGGGGTCTTTGCAGCTGCGCAGTGAAGTGAAAATTGTGAAGCATTCTTGATGACGTTGCCGAAAGTTGTCAGCATTCAGTGTGATTAAAGCTAAAACTAAACGCGTTTCACAGATCCTCTCTCTCTCTCTCTCTCTCTCTCTCTCGCTCTCTCTCTTGTTGGTATACTGTGACGGATGTCACAAATTTTGGCACTCTGATTTGTCTGTGCATGACAAACACACACACATTTATACAGTTTGTATCTGTGTCTGTGGCTTTTTTTTCGTGTTGAAATGCCGTAATTCTCTCAGCCGGCAGCTAATTTAGTGTTTCCTGCTGACAACTGCAGTTTAAGCTTCAAAGACAAAAGCCAACCATGACATGATAAAGAAAGCAAAAGAGAGAGCAACACACAGATAGACAAAGAGAGAATAATTGCTGGAGAGAGAGAGAGAGAGAGATAGAGCACAAAAGTAAAGTTAATTACAACAATAACAATAACAGCAACAACAACAAGTACGCACAATAAATGTGAAAAGATCTATAGTTGTATCAAAAATGGTTCTAGTATCTCTCATAAATTGTACAATAAATTGTGATTTTGTACTAGCACACAAACAAGCAGAGGCAGAGGCAGAGGCAGAGGCAGCGACTGCTTGCTGCTTGTTGTTGTTGTTCTTGTTTGAAAATAGACGACATCCGGTCTGTACAAAAAAAAAATATATATATAAATCATATTTTTAGATAAACGTTGATACACAAACACACATACAACACACGAGCTGTGTGTGTGTGTGTGTGTGCGTTGCATGATTGAGTTGCTCTTTTGTCATTACCAATCTCAAATTTATTGAAATGCATTTTGAGCATTCGCCCAACACATCAAGCAAAGCAAAATTGTTCACATGTGTGTTTTCTACATATATACATATATATATGTATATATATATATAACGCAGTTTGATCTACTTACAACTAAGCACCTATTTTTGGAGCAAGTTGCTGTCTTCAAGCATAATATTTACAAGCAGAGTGCTATCGCATAAATATTTGAAAAACGTAGCGCGCAAAATTTCATATTTATTGCGTATGATTGATTTATGTCGTTGGCACAATTAAGCAATTAATCAATAATACGTCAGTTAACAATTGTTATCGATAACTGAACTATAACACTTGTCACAGTCTGATGTAAGCAGCTGCGAATAGCAACGAAAAATTTGTGTGTGGAAATGGAAATAAATTAACACATTTAATGAAAATTCGACGAGCGGACCAGAACTGAAAACGGAGCGTATGAGTAATCAACGACAGGAAATGGTGACAAATGCGCCCCCTCCCCACACTTCGCGCCTATATTTGTGTGTGTGTGTGTGTGTGGGTCTCCCTATGTATGTAAATGTGTTGTAGCTATTTGCACCGATAGCAACAAGCCAAAAACGACGAAATAAAATAATAAAAAAAAAAAAACGAAAAAAATTTCAATAATTTATTTGGTTTGAATGAAATACGAACGAGAAGCAAACGGGCGACGTGGCCGCCATTGGGGCGCCCACAGGAAACGTTGACGCTGGCAGCGCCGTCGACAGCAGCCAGCGTTGTTGGGTTGGCAACAGTTTCCTGTGTTTAATTTGTTGTTGTTATTGTTGTTGTTATTGTTGAGTGCAAACGAGTTACGACAACAAACATATTACAATTTGGTTCAATGACTTTGCCCAGCAGCGATAGAGAGTGGCGACTATGCGTACTTGGTGTGCTGTGGTGCTGATGGTGCTGGTGCTGGTGGTGGTGCTCTCGGGGGCGGACGGCGTTATCTAACCCACTGTAAACACCCATTTAGCCAAAACACCCACAAGCTCTCTCGTTTATCAGTCGTTCGGTTTGCGACAGTGGCAATATTTAAGGAAATGGCCCCAAATGCCACAACAAAAGGCTTGTGCGCCAGATGGGTGTGTCGATAAATGACTCTAGTTGTTTCCTCTTCTTCTTCATCGTTTATACTATTCCAATTTCAGTTTCAGTTTTGGTTTTTTGTTTAGCGTGTAATTAAATTTGTTGCTGCTATCTGTTGCTGTATCCTACCTAAATGAACTGCCATTAAACATAAGCCTGCTTATACTGAATACAATAATCTAAATTGAATCTCCATTCTCTGTTTGTTTGGTCTTTTGCAGTTTGTGAACATTGGCATTGTCACCTCGATTGAGTCGAATCACAAGAATATCGATTTCGCACGAAAAGGTCAGGAGATTTGCATCAAAATCGAACCAATTCCCGGAGAATCACCCAAAATGTTTGGACGACACTTCGAGGCGGACGATATGCTCGTGAGCAAGGTAAGCAATTCTTTGATATAACTATAATTTAATTAGTCGATACCTGTTAAGGAAAAAGGAAAAAACTTGAAAAAAGAACTAAATTCTTTCCTGAAAATCGCTTTTTCAAATGGAAATTTAGTCTTACTATGGAGATCGTAACATATTCCAAAAGCCTTGGCTTTTTTTTTTAAATCTAATCATCATTGATTGAAAGTGAAGATCGTAATTTGTTATAGAAATATTTGAGCCATCCACAAGTATTTTTGGGTGTAAAAATCAAACATGAATTTGAAACTAGAATCAATTTTTTAAAAATATATATGCCTGGGTGACCAGGTACTTTATATAGCAATCATTGCTATCAGCAGACCTCGACTGGAGTATTGAAGCACTTAAGCATTGTCAGTGAGGCATTCCCACTCCAAAATTCGATTTCACACTTCCCCTTTGCCAGCTGGCTTATCAAATTACATGGCCCAACTAGTGTAAAGTACCAGAGGGTGAACTCAAATTATATTAATGGCGTTAAAAGGTCTTTTGCAACTTCCGGTCGAAGCCATTATTTGATTAATTAATTGAAAATGAAAAAAAATACACACAACAGAGCGAAATTGCTGACGTCAAGCGAAGGATATATTGGGGTGCGTTGAAATTTTTCAAATCGATAATAAAATTAATTTTTGCTTTATTTTAGTTGCGCTTATCAATGGGGGCAGGCAACAGTGACGTCAGCAGCAACTGAGTGCTGGCTGTGGGTTGGGGTTGGGGTTGGGGTTGGGTTTTTGGTTGCTCTTAAGTGTCGTTGGATAATTGCTCATTGAGCTCCACTTTGCACCAAGTTTGATTCAATTAATTTGTCGTAAAAAAAAACACAGCTGCAAATTGTTTGCCTGGCCGAGTTGGGTCATCAAATTTAGCCCACAACATGTAAAAACATCAAAAGCGCCATCAAGGACGAGACATGCGTCTGTCTATGTGTGTGTGTGTGTGTGTGCTGTGTGTGTGTGAGCTGCGTGTGTGTGTGCATATTCCATTCACTTGTATCTATTTACAGACGCTTTTGCTATTTTTATCGCCTCAATGCCTTTTTATGCTATCAAAGGGTATTATGTCATGGCACCCAAGCCACCCACAATACCAGCGCTGTACGAGCTGTGGCAACCTTGCCACACGCCCAGTTGCACCCCAGTTGACTGTCTACCGCTTGCTGACGTCACGTTTCACCTTCCACGGCAATGCACTTGCTGCCTGCCCCATCGTTCATTGACTTCTGACGTTCTCGTCGTCATCGTCGCAGCAATAACCCAGTTTTTGGTCGTTGTCGCGTTGTTTTTGGTTACTCACTTGACCCAGTTGCGTGCAACGGAACGGACGGGGTTCAGCTTTCGCATTGTGCCCCAGCGCAGCCCAACCCAGCCCAACCAGCCAGTTGCAGTTGTACGGTGAGCTACAATGCGGCTTTGACTTTTTTTTTTTTTATCAGAGATTCTGACGCATTTGGCGACCCGGTTTAGCAACAGCACCAACAACTACTTTAAAGCCCAACCCACAATGCCCTTTGCTTCCAACTCAGATTAGGTTTCTGAGTGACTAAAAGTTGAGGTAGTCTTCTTTATTAGACAATTTACCCAGACTAACATCACTAACTAATAGAAGGATTCCACTATGCCCAACATTCACATTCACATTCTTTACAGTTCCCGATTCTATTAAAGGTCTTCGATTTCTTTAAAAATCATTGGAGTGGAAAATTACCTTGCCTTATTTTTATTTGTCTGTGCGAAATTAACAATAAAATAATTAATTAAAATGCAGGACAGGCTGTAGTAACTGTTCTGCAAACAATCTAATAAATTCGAAACACATTTCAAGATTAATAACTTCTGGGAAAATGGACAGGCAACAATTGAACATTCGGCAGATATGCGAAATGTAAGAAATGTTGCATCAGTCTATAAACCAATATATATTTTGTATTTTGTTTGCCTTAAAAACACATCGTTTTTTTTTGCTATTTGTTTAACACTATATAGTCGAAGCTTTACTCGCTATTATAAATAATGATATGCCCGACGAATAAGGCGTATATCAGACTGACTGACTGGCCTAACAATATGAGAGGTGCCTTATGCTCGGCACTTTAATATGCATAGCCATTGCCATTGCCAGTTATTGTCCGATACCGTCTATAGACGTATCTTTTATCAGTTATTGTTTGTTATGTATGCAGCTATCCATATATTGACAGCATTGTGTTCTGCTGTGTCGTCGAATCAAATTAATATGCAACTGGCAGAAAGTATAATTAAATGCAAATTGAAAGCTAAGGCGCTGTTTTCAAAGCGACATAATCAACCGGATGTTGAGATCAACGCCATTTTTAATATGCTATCGCCATAAATCAATATCCATTTTGAACATAACACATTTACTATAAATCTAGCTATAAATTCTTATATCTTTGCAGATTTCACGACAGAGCATCGATGCCTGCAAGGACTATTTCCGTGATGATTTGATCAAGACCGACTGGGCGCTGATGGTCGAACTGAAGAAACTGTTTGAGATTCTCTAAACAATTGCCAAATTAGCATAAACATCTACAAATACAACAATGCACACCGGAGCAACAAAAGCAAAAAAGAAAAAAAAGAAAAGAAAACTAAAACAAAAACTATAATTGTTGTAGTAATTGCAACTAAACTCTCAACTCTTAACAACAGACTGCTTGAGCTCGAGGCCCGGGCCGACTATGCTTACAAAAAAGAAAACAAATCAAAAACAAAAACAAAAACAAATAATTTGTTAGTTTCGTGCAGCTTAGTTTTTTTTTTTTTAATGGTTTAACACAGTCGGTTGTCGTCGTCAAACAAAAATGTGCTTAAAACGATTTTTAAATGATATTTGTGAATGCTTTTTGCATAAGAAAACCTTTGATTGCCTGCGCTTCTTTTTGTTACGCCTGAAACTAAGGACAAAATTAAAAGTTGTAAAAAAGAAAAAGAAAACCAATTTAGAATAATTGTCTTTTCAATAACTATGTCAGCAATGACGTCACACCGAGTTTGGGGCGTGTAACCTTCGTACAGTGTATTCACCCAGCGGCATGCGCAGTGGCATGCAACCAGCAACCAGCCAGCAACCAGCTCTTTTTCATTCATAGCTGTCATTGAGTGCGCCAAGGATATGGATGTAGATGATGCTACTGCTGCTGATGCTGATGCTGCTGCTGCTGCTGTTGCTGTTGCAGGTTGTGAATGGAAACGGCTGCAGAAAACTGGGTCAGGCTGGCTCAAGAGTTCGTTCAACCTGCCAGTGACGAAGTGGAAGGACAATTGTGTCGCACAACGTATTCACACACAACACACACACACACTTGCACACATTTATACTTATTGGCACACATACACATACATAATCTTATGGCTTATGTCCTGCAAGTGCGTCACTTATGGAATGCTTAAAATGCACTTGAAGTCCATTAAAGAAGCTCCTTTAAAGCAGGTTATAAAGCAGGTAATTTATGCTGCTTGCATCAGATGTGTGTTGTTTAATTAGATTTATTATTTTGCCATTTTTAAAGATTGAGTTTTTTGATCTAAATGGTTTTGGTAAGTTTTGCATCTCTTTCCATTTTGCAAGAACTTCGTTTGATAGCCAAATTGAAAGCACAGCAAGCTAAAAACGCTATAAACGCTGCAAGTGGCAATTACTATTCAGAAAATCGAGTTTTAAAAGTTACAACAAACCAGATGCCTGTGCTGAAGCTCAATTTACAATAACAGTAACTACATACAACATTTAATTAGAGAGTTGAAAGATGCTGCGTCGGTCATATGTAATATGTCAATAAATGTATTAAAAAATGTTTGAAGCTGTGAAAGACGCATATCTAATATGAATTGTCATCTAGGTATATACATCTATATACATACATACATATTTATATACTTACTTGCCAGCTGGAATGCCATTAGAATTTACTCAAGCTGGTTGGGAGGCAGGCAGGCAGGCACAGACAGGATAAACTCTCTCAAGGCGTATTCAATGACGCCACAAAATTGAGCTGCCCATTGAAAAAAAGGCAGCTAAAGCTAGAGCATTGAGAGCCCAAAGCCGCAGAGAAGAGAGAGAGAGAAAGAGAGACGGAGAGAGAAAGAGAGAGTGAGTGCGAAATTCATTCACAAGGCGCATTTGAATGGCATCCACAAAGGCCGCTCTTTGTGTGTGTGTTGGTGTTGCTGCTGTTGTTGGCTGCGTCATCAGTGTGGAATGTGGAACTAGGGCAACAGGCGGTGTTGCGGCTTTGGGGCGCAACCTTCTCAATGTGGTTGTTCTTGTTGGCTTTTCAGCGATGCTCGCTCGTGTGGGCGGCATTTTCATTGAGAAAAACGAATGCAGAAGGATTCGTAGCCACTTGAACGAGTCAGCTTAAATGATTAGCCTGTCCTTGTGTGCGCAGCTGTGTATCTGTGTGAGTGTGTGTGTGTGTGTGTGTGTGTGTCTGAATCTAATGAATGAAAGGAGAAATAAAAGTCAAATTGTGAAAAGGGAAAATGTACTGAAGATCAAATTAACGTCAATCGCAGAACGGATGCTTCCAAAAATCGAAAGAAAAATGGTAAATTGCACGTGCTTTTTTTCAATTTTGTTTGTGTATTTTTGTGGTTGTAGTTTTGTTTGCCATGATTTCATGTTTATTCATTTCACCTCGACGTTGTTGATTATCTAGGACACTTGTGACGTCAGGCGGCGCACCAAATTTATTGTACATTTTGTGTACAGCACCACCCAACTCCCCTCTAAAAAAAAAAAAACAAGCAGCAGCCAAAAGCAAAGTCAAAGCCACTCAGCCACAGAAATTGGATGGCCAATTTAAACATACATACATACATCCATATATACATCCATACATACATACATATACATACGTTGTACGATTTGTATGCATTGAAATCGCTTTTACATGAAATCTCGCACAGAGATAGCAAAAAATTAGTTGTTTAATGAATTTAAAAATCGTATTTGAAATGCTCAACATGTCGCAATGAATTGTCATTTATTTGTGTATCTTTCAGACGTTTATATATATATATATAAACAAATATATATAGATGTTGTACTCACGTATGAATGAATCGATTTGCTCGATTTACTCGACTGACTATATTGAATGTCAAACTGTTTGGCCTTTTCAAATTGATTTACCTCGATTACAATCTCAATTTTTGGCATCCGCTGCTGTTTTATCTTATATTCAATTTATCAAAGATTATATTACGCGACAACGTCGAAAACAATGTTATCTGTAAAGGAAACGAATTGTTCAAATCCTAATCAAAAGACTATTTCTATGAATGCGCAACGAACCAAGGAAAAATATCATAATCTTTAATTGCAATTTAAGTGCACTTTGATTATGAATTTTCTTCAGATAGACTTTACTTTTTGACGTATATATATATATATATATATATATATGTTAAAATTAAGTGTAAAGTGTGACTTATTCGCAGATATTTTAAGTTTTTGACTGTCCAATCGCAGATTGTCACACTCAGTCCAAATATTTGTAAGTATAAGCCAGAGCTATTGAGATCTTAAGTTGATGACAAACATATCAAAGATTGTTTGAAGTCGACTCTGATTATTAATAATATTGGGAAAGCCAAGAGTTTGAGCTACGCGTCTTCATTAAGAAGAACCAGTTCCATTGACTATTATTATTGTTATTTAGATTGCCTCAAATGCATGTTGGGTTGCCAATTGTTTTAGCCAGAGTAATTGAGAGATTTAGTCAATCAACAATTAGTGTTTTAAGTTGTGCAATGAGTTTTTGAACTGGGTATAAATATTTTAGCCCAGCAAAGAGTTTGAGCGCGCCTACTTTCAGGACACCCAACTCGAAGCATTAATATTACTATTTTTTATTAAGTTTAAAAGTTATGTTTGACAGCTTAATGTTTTTTACTCACAGCTTTATTAATGAGTGTTGACAGTTAACTCTGGGAATCAATATTAATGGGGCAGCAAAGAGTTTGAGCTACGCGGGTGTTTTTAGGACACGCACTTCGATGAAATTAAAAACTACTAATTCGATAGACCAACAACAAATTGAATTCAAGGTGGCAACTCTAGTTGTCAGCTGGTTGTGGCACATACATGCACAAATATATTTGATGGCTGATGGCTGACCTTGAGCACAGTGCGGTGCAGCTGGTGCTGCTGCTGCTGCTGCTGTTGCTGCTGTTGCTGCAACGGAAGCAACCCCCAAAGCGGAGACTCGGAATTCAGGGCCAATGTCATGGCTACGCCTATCGAAGGACGTTGCCAAGGCAACGCGGCACACGCAGCGAACGGAGCAGGCGTTCTCCATTTCAGGGCCAAGCTCATTGGGCAGGAAGTGCAGCCTGCGAGCGGCTGCTGCGTTTGCGGGCGGCCATTGAACGGTATAAGCATTTTCAAAATGGCCGTCAAAACCTCGATGACCTTGAATGAAGGCCATTCATTGGCTGTGCAGCGTGCAGGCAGCCAAAGACGAAATCACAGCTTGAGGAGAGGCGGGAAAGTCGGTGTTTTTGGGCGGTTTGGTGCAACGCGTTTAGGGTGAACCAAAACAGGCTGAACCAAAACAAGCGACTGACCAGAACCCTTTAAATAGTACTCCAATAAAGTGTTCAAATACTTAATTAGTTTTTCAATTTTTAATATTTTTTTGGAAGATTAGAGTAAAGCAGCAGAATGGGGAGGAGGTAGCGAGTTGGAGCTGCAACATCAAACCTCAAAATACAAAAGCCCACGCAGCGCATCGCATCGCATCGCATCCAACCCAATTTGCAATCAGTTCGTGTGCTGTAATTCGCGCTCGGACCACGCTCGTGACTCGTCGTCTCCCAGGCAGCATCCTGTCGGCCATTTGCCGAGTGGGGCGCTCGTGTGCGGTAACCGATGACAACTGCAGCCAGCCCAGGCACTTTTGGTGGCACTTTCTCGATGCAAATGGCGCTGCACCATCGTGTCAGTCACTCGACGAACGTCAGCCTGCATTCAACATAAAATCTCTCCGTGTGTGCATCTGAAAAAGGATTCTTCATTCTCTCTACTCCTTCAGCAATAGCTAAAAAGTAAAAAAAAAATAACATTTCCCAGAACCAATACGCAATTAAATGTAAAATATAGAAACGCAATAAGCAAAGATAAGTTTCCTCCCCCCAAAAAACTTTTAAGCAATCGCCACGCGGCGTATGTGTAATATTATTTCTAAATAAATAATGTGTTAATTACATAGTTAATCAAAGTACATAAATTAATAAATATCGAACTCTTAAATATTCAATTAGATTGTTAGCTAAATAGTGAGTGTGTGTCAAGTATTATCAACAATAGAATTAAGCTGATATTTAAATAAAAGTACAGTTTGCATAAAACAATATTCTTCTGAAAATTACTACTGATTGTTTAACTTCAATAAAGTATATAAAACAAGTTTACAATAATTTAACAAACTTCTTATAAACAATATTCAGCAATATACCTAATAAACAATTGTATATTTAAGACGTTAGCTTTGCGAATTTATCAACCGGTGAGTAATTATAATTTATTATATGTATAAGTTATACTATTCTTCAGTTAATTTCTATGAATTTGTTGAACCCTCGAAAAATGGTTCAAAGTAGAGATAAGCTCATTTAGATCTTGCTATAATTTACTGAATAAAGAATTATAAAGCCTAACTTTAATAGACTTTAATTATCCTATGGGCATAGCTAAATCCTTTAGTTGAGTTATTAAGACTTAATTTTAAAACAACTTAAAAGCCTAATTTCTTGAACCAACATTTTTGGGTCTCTCTTGAAATCTACATATCTTAAGAAAGGACCAAAATGCGACCAGAGACTTCACATTTCAGATAGTAAAATGAGCCCTTCGAACTTTGAAATCTTTAGTCTTCCTGCACCGATTTATCGAAGGGCAAAGTAACAGTTGCTTTTCGATTATTAGAAACATATATTA